CTGCAGGACGCGTCTCGCCCCGTATGTTCCTGTCCGTGTTACTTGTTGCTGGTCCTTCAAGCAGGGCCGGGTTGGACCATACTGTTGACCTGGCCCGTGTAGTTTCCCATGACCAGAAGTAACATGTGTTGAATGCTCCCCAGGAAAGATCGCGGGTCCTCGAGCGGCACCAAGTCCTGGTTTGCTTACTGCATTGTGCGATGGCCGTGCATTCGGCACCGTTAGCAAAAGATGCTTATGACTAAAACAGCAAAGGTGTTGCAAAATTGAAGTTCCTTGGCCGTGTCCACGTAGGGCTACAAGGTGGGAGTGAGAAGCGTGGATATTGCTGCAGGGCATCTACACTGCACTTCCCCTTGTCCCTGCCACTGCCGGCAAATTAATGTGCACTTAAAAAGATGAGAAACCTGATGAAAAGAGTCCCTCTCTTCTTTCCCCAATGCATTTAGCCCCAGTAGTGAAAATCAATGGTGTGATGCTTGGCCCGCAAGGGACCTGGATTCATTTTTCATCGCAGCGGGGACGTGAAAGGAAAAAGGGAACTCCTTCGGGACGGTAGAAGGACCCAAAAAGAGAAAAAGAGCGAGAACAGCATGCACAACAGAGAATGAGAGAGGGGAAGGAGGAACAGAAAAGGCTAAAGGGGAAATAATTAGACTAATACAAGCAGCAAAACAAATGCTGTATTGAGCGGCAGGGCCTGGATCCCAGTTGCCAGAGGAGAGCGGTGTGGTCTGTGGTTTCGGATTGACCATTAGTGCTCCGGTCCCTAGGTTTCGTAATGCCTCACCTCTTCTTTCTCGATCCCCCCCGTCCTGTGCAACATTGCTATCGAGATGAACATTATCGATGCATCTGGCCCTTGGTCCATACGTGTCTCGTGGTGTGAGTAGGGCATCCAGCCCTGCCCGTGCTCAGTGGGAGACGTCTCATGAACCACCCAGGAGCTGCAGGAAGCGAGGTTGACTGTTTTGCAAGGCGGCGTTTTCCACCTTTGAGCTAACCCCTCGATGTGGGGCTCGTCCGAGCGGACACGCAGCCCTCGGAGGGGGCCGGGTGCAAGTCCAAGGCCCCGTCAGCAAAAGGGCCGAGGGGGCCTGGGAACAGCGCCGCGGATTTGTCCCGTCTGGTCCTCAGGGATTTTATCCCCTTAAGGACCTCCATTGTTCGCTCATCGTTACGGTTTCATTTGTCAGTTTTGGGGGGATGTGGGATGACGAGGAGGCTGGATCTCTTTGTTTTTTTGGTGAACATGATGTTTCTGGTTCCATAAATTTTGGTGCTGGGAGCAGCAGGTCCCAGGCCTGGTGCACGATGTGGTTAATGCCCCCAGCTCCCCCCGCCTTGCAGTTGGTTTCCTTTCTGGTCCTGTGAGAAGACCTGCCTTTCACTTCTTACTTTCAGAATGATGCTGTGAGTTGGTCAGATGAGACCGAGAAGCAGAGCGGGTGTGGGAAGGTGACTGGGTTCACTGGCCCGGCTGCCTCCGGGGCTTGTTGCTGGTATGAGCTGTGCTAGGAGCTACCAGCCCTCTCTGGGTGTTTTATATATAACTATATATAATATCTACCTCTCTATCAATCATGCAATTGATAGATAGATATGGCTATCTATCTATCTATAGCTAGATAAATAGATAGATATCCATAGCTATCTATATCTATAATTTATATATCTATATCTATATAGGTAGATATCTAGATAGATAGATAGCCAAATCTATCTATATCAATAATTTATATATCTATATCTGTCTGGGGTCATGTGA